TAAAATTTTTATTTATTATTTTTATTTTTATGTGTATGCATGTATTGCCTGCATGTAGGTAAGTGCATCTATGCCGTGCAATGCCCGCAGATGTCAGAAGAGGCTGTTGGATCCCCTGGGACTGGAGTTACAGACTGTTGATAGTTGCCATGTGGGTGCTGGGATTTGAATGAAATGTGTTTGCCTGTATGTACCTAAGTATATCACATGCATGTCTATTGTCCAAGGACCAGAAGAAGGTGTTGGAACCCCTGGAACTGGAATTATAGATGGTTGTGAGCTGCCATATGGGTCCTGGGAACCAAACCAGCCAGTGCCCTTAACTGCTGAGCCACCTCTCCAATCCCGGCCTCCTGTGCTGTTTTCAATGGCATCCTTAGGTTAGTCTGTTGTGCCCCAAGTCTCTGCAGTGCACTCACCCCTCTGCATCTCTTGGGTTCTGGGCCACTCTCACACCTTCTCCAGAGTGGTACTCCTGTGAATAACTGAATGTGCCTATATTGCCACAAGTCTAATTTTTAGATTACTTTTCTGTAGTTAAGCCCAATCCTGTTATGGATGAAATTGGAGCACGGGGAGAAAGAACTCTCTTAAGAACTCTCTTAAGGGCCCAGTTTCATAGACTCAATAGTCTATAACAGTATCTTCTATCAAGGAATTTCCTGACAATAAGCAAAGCTGCAGGCTGGGGTGGGAGTGCGGAGAAACCAAGCTCTGCTTTGTATCACAGAACAGTGGAGGGACAAAGACTTTTCAGGGAGCAAATCTCTCCATGCTATAAAACATACAAGAATATAATTTCTGATTTCACCAACAGCATTGAGTATTGTGACTTCATTCTTTGAGGGAAGGAAAACATTTATTAGTATTTAATTAATATATTTTTATTTATTTATTTATTTGAGAGGGTTGTGACCAGTCTTAATATGGATCCCACCATACCTAATTAACATTTAATACCAGAGGACTCAAAAAATTTAAATATGTTACTCAACCATTTGATTTTTCTCTTCTGTGAATTATCTATTTAAGCAGTTTGCTTATTTTTCTATAGATCTCTGTATACTTTCCTTATAAATTTGAGTTCTCTGGATATCAAGAATATCAATCTTTAGTAAGTTGTAATTGAGATGAACATTTTCCTCAGTTTTTCTTTACTTTCTGTTGATGATCTTTCCGATATACAGAAGTTTCAAGCCATATGCAGTCAAATTATCTGTGTTTTTGTTTTAGTACTCCTTCTACTCCTATTACATCAGAAAGCCCTTTCCTAATACACACTAAATTAATAGTCATTTATTTCCTCTTCTGGTCTTTTGTATTTACATTTAATGTGTTACTTGCCACTGAGCTCTGGAAGAACTGGGTGGCACTCTTGGTTTAATTGTAAGAGTCTGAGGTCTGGGACCTCAGTCCATACAGAAGCCTCAGACGTGGAGGCAGGGCTGGGAGTAGATCCTGGACAGGAAGCAGAAGAAACAGTTTACCATTCTATAAAACAGATTTTTTTGGTGGAAATAGGGGCTGATTTGGGCAAACATGGCTCTGTTACATATATAAGAATTTTCACAACGTGTAGTTATTTTGGACTTTAAATGACTGCATACAGCTGTCAATCATCCACCTCCGTGCCATTGTGAGCAGATATATAGTTACAACCAGGGACCAGAAATGAAATGCTGGAAAAGGATGCAGCAAGAACACTGAGGATATTCCCTTTTTCCTAGAATGGGGATGGATGAATGCCAAGGGAAAAAAGGGTGAAGTCTCTTTGAGGAGAGATTGGGGCTTCATTGGGAATTCTGGACTACAATGCTTATATACATTTATTGACTGAAGATTCCAAACCAAAGACTAATATTCCTTTTATTTTATAAAAAAACAGAAGTGTTTGCAAACTCTTAAATTTCCTTTCAGTTCTAAATACATTTTTTTTGGTTTCTTGGTGATGGATTGATAACACATTTATTATAATACTGTACCTATACACCAATTTCTATAAATTAGGTAAGACCTGGCCTCTGCAATGCAGCTTGGTAATGGAAGCACATTTATACCTGGGCTGTCTCTGTTAATGACACTTTCAATGCAGTGATAAGAAGCCAGTGACAACTGACATCAATTCTCTCCTCTCAGGTGCCAAAGGGAAGAGATGCACATTACAAGGTCACTGACTGTGCGAGAACAGTTGTCTAGAAATGGCTAGCTATCTATCTACCTTGTTCAAAATTACTCCCACCCCTTCCAAAGCAGAAAAACCCCACAAGAAGAATGCTCCGAGGAGGCATTTAATTAACCCACAACAGACCATTTCCTTGAAAACTTATTTTGCTTCAATCTTTACTGAAAATCTTTGCATTTGATTGTTCCATCAAGTAGGGAGGAGATCTATCTTCAATGACAAACCAAAATCTCGTGGGCATGACAATTTTCTGCATCATAGTAGAGGGGTAAGTGCACACAGGTGCATGCATGTGTGTGTGTATGTATGATGTGTGTATGATTATGTGTGTAAGCATGTATGTATGGATGTAAGCATGTGTGTGAGTGCATGGGTGTATGTGTGTACATGTGAGCATGTGTATGTGTGTACGAATGCATACATGTATGTGAGCATTTTATGTATGCTTGTGTGTGTGTCTAGAGGGTGAGGGATCTTTCTCCATCCTCATTTTTGTGTGAGTGCATGGGTGTATGTGTGTACATGTGAGCATGTGTATGTGTGTATGAATGCATACATGTATGTGAGCATTTTATGTATGCTTGTGTGTGTGTGTCTAGAGGGTGAGGGATCTTTCTCCATCCTCATTTGGTGTTAGGATGTAAACATTGCTGTAGGTTTCACTGGCCAGAGGTGTGGGCCTGATTTGGAAGAGGCCTTGGGGCAACAGGCTGAGGAGTTTAGAGCCACTGAGCAGAGGCAAAATCGCTTGCTTTGGGTCCCAGGTATTCCCTCACCAGGTCATTCTGGCCTTGGTTCTAGGTGAGGTTTCTGGAAGGTCAGCTTATATAAGCTTGACCCTTTGCCTTTGATTCCTTGATCTTTGTGATTCCCTAAGTTTCCTAGGATTCCCTGCTAAGTTCTTTCCTGATAAATCAGACTGATACTAAGGACTGAAACCAGGACAAGAAACTTGGGGGCTGGAGAGATCGTTTAGCAATTAAGAGCACTGCTCTTACGGAAGACCTGGATTCAATTCCCAGTTGGCGGTTAACTATACCTTTGCCTTTGATTCCTTGATCTTTGTGATTCCCTAAAGTTTCCTAGGATCCCCTGCTAAGTTCTTTCCTGATAAATCGACTGATACTAAGGACTGAAACCAGGACAAGAAACTTGGGGGCTGGAGAGATCGTTTAGCAATTAAGAGCACTGCTCTTACGGAAGACCTGGATTCGATTCCCAGTTGGCGGTTAACTACTGTCTGTAACTCCAGTTCCAGGGGATCTGATGCTCTCTTCTGATTTCCAGGGGCATTGCACAACATGGGTGCACTTACATACATGCAGGTAATACACTCATACATATAGAATAAAAATAAATAAAACATTAGAAAAAAGCAGAAACATGAAATTGCCTTGGATGCTTCATCTTGCTTAAGAGTCATTATTCTGATATGAATTTTCATAACACAAAAATGTTATTAGCTGATACTTAGTGAACTATCCCGCATACATTCCTTTTGATGATTATTTTACATGCACTAATTTCACATAATCTCCAAACAACTATTATTGTGCAACTTTAAAGTAGATCAGGGCTTAGGTGATGTCCCTGTCCACTCAGGAGACCTATGGTGACATCAGGACTTGAACCCTTCTTAAGCACCAGGGCACACTGTAGGAAGAGCAGAACACTTGGTTGTTCTTGGATGACCAAATCATAAAATCGGGCATATTCCTTTTAACAGCTACTTCTTTGTGATTGGTCAGTCTCTTTTTTTTTATTTAAAGGTTTATTTTATTTTTAAATTACGTGTCTGTGTGTGTCTGTGTGTTGGTTTGTGTACATCTGTACAAGTGCCCACAGTGGGTGTCGGATCCCTTGGACCTGAAGTTACAGGCAGTTGTGAGCTGCTCAATATGGGTGCTAAGAAACTGAACTCAGGTCCTCTGGAAGAACAGTGAGTACTCTTAACTGCTGAGCCACCTCTTCAGCCCCATCATGTTCTCTTAAGGTACAAAAACACCTCACAGTTATTTAACATGTATAAACTGTCAAATTTCAAATAATGAAGATTTTACCATATGAAACATAACCAAATTTTTCATGAATTATTTAATAACCCAACACAAATTAGCAAATGAAAACATCAACAGTTTTTCTTCAGTAATTAGAATAAAAAATAATCAGAGTCTTTACTCATGTTGCTGACATGACTATGTGCATATCTGTGCAACTTCAGACACGTGATTAAGTTTGGTACACCTGTTTCTACAGCAGAGGCTCATCATTTATGTTATCTATTTTATGAGAAAAATTATAAGAGGTTTATGTAAGGACCAGCATGAAAATGTATGTAATGGTACTTTATAAAATGCGAATGAGTGCAGGTATTATTATTATTATTTTGTTTTTGTTTTGTTGTTTTGGTTTGCTTTGAGACAGTCTCATGTAGCTCAGAGTGGTCTCAAACTTGCTATACAGCAGAGGCTAGCTTTGAACTCCTGATTCTCCTGCCTTCATGTCCCAAATTCTAGGATTATAGATATGTGCCACCATGCCTAAGAAGATATTAATGGTATTGAGCTTTATAGCTTTCAGAGTGCTTTTGCTTATCCTAATCTATTTAAATCACACAAAAACCTGATATATAAGACATAGTAAATATCTTCCTCTTATTTGAGGAAACCGAAGAGAGGACTTATGACTTGTCCTAGGTAAGAGCCAGTAAGAGGAAAAACTTGCAACTGTATCCCGACTCTTCATTCAACCTCTGCATCTGTTCCAATTGTTTTTTAAGTATTCCCTGGATCGAGGTATCACTAGTTCATGTCTATGGATGAAGACCACTCACTTTTTTGACTTCATATTTAATGGCGAGTTTGACACGACTCAGTGATGCTTTGTGCCTGTGTATTTCCAGAGGCTCCATTGACTCCAGATCTCCATTCAGAATGGCTTCCACCTCTTCTGAGTCCCGGCAAAGGTCCAGTACGCCCACTACAAAGTCTTTGCATTGCATGGAGAGCTTCCTGTAGTCATTCTAAAACAAGAAGTTGCATGTTTAATGCCAAGAATTTCTCCAAGTCAATGGCAAGTGTTTGGGGCATGTGGGAGTAGGAAAAGATGTCTCTACCTCTGGGTAGGAAGATGCAGCCCCCATCTAGAGGCAACCAGTCCCTTCTAAGCTCCCTTCTGCAACTTGCCCGGCTGTGTGAGAGCTCTGAAAATTACATGGATGTGGTCTCACTTATATATGGGACCTCAAAAAGGTCAAATGCATAAGAAAAACAAAGAATTGAATTGTTTAGCTAGAGCCCAGGAGGTGAAGAGACATTGGTCAAAGAGGGTAGGCTAATTTGCTTGCTGTAACCATTACACATTGTACACATGCATCAAAACACTGCATGGTGTCCCATAATGTGTTTAATCACTATTTATCAATTACAAGTTTTAGCTGGAGATGGAACTCAGTGGTACAGTGCTTATCTAGAATGCATTTGGCTCTGAGATTTTTGTGGAGGTTATTCTCTTTTGCTATAGGACCTTGCTACACAGTTGAGACTGACCTGGAAGTCATTATGTAAACCCAGCTGGCCTCAAACTTTCAATCTTCCTGCCTTTACCTACTGAGTGCTGGGATCACAGGTGTGTACTATCACATCAGTATATGAAAACAAAAATGGTAAATTGCTCCAAAAAGCCAGGCACGATAGCCCCCAAAAGACTGAAGCAGGAAGACTCCTGGGCTTGTGATATGTAGTGAATTTTAGGCCAGCCTGGGCTACTGTGTGAGACTGCCTCAAAAGAAAAAACAAAAAGATTAGTTTCAATAGATGTGGTATGCAGTTAAGTCACAGGTTTGTATTGAGACAATGGCTAAGTGCCAATGCTGAAGACCATAGGGTCAAAACATGTTTTGTCTCTTTTATAGTTATTTTTAAACTAAAACAGGGACACCTATATAATGGGAAATTTCTAAAACAGCAGTTTGACCCAGGAGAGTGACTATTTATGAAAATATGTCCGGTTTCTCATCCTGGTCTTACTTGAAACTTCACTTTTTAAAGCATAGACCTTATACCAAGAGTATTAACAGTTTAGCAATGCGCTAGAAATGCAATTTTTAGGCTCTGCCTCAAAGTCCTGAAGTAGAAACTGAGAAAGGACCCAGAAATCTGATTCAAGTCAGTGTCTGATAACAACTGATAAAAACTATAGAGATGAGGACCCACGGGTGTAGACTTTCCCACATGTTTGGTGAAGGGCATATTATCTTTCCTTACAGAAATGGAAGGAGAGAAATGGCTGATTATAAGGAATTGGATTCTCCAGGGTTACAGAACACCAATATCTGAGAAAAAAGTTTCCAGGCCACTGGAGCTAACACCTTGCTAAAAATAATCTGTGAATCTTTAATTTCATTTGCATATTTATTTGGTGTGATGGATGGATGGTTGGTAGCCGTCCCTGTTACCTTCTGAATAGAACTCTATTTTTAGCCTGCTGGTTCCTGTAAGGGGCCAATGATCATCTCCTGGGAATGTACTTTGCTTTTGGAAACCCCAGTTCTACCTTGTAACTTCCACTAAAATTTTAGCTTATGGAGAGAGTTAAGCCAGGCAACCCAGTATAATCCCAGCATTAAGGAGGCTGATGCAAGAGGATGAGAATTTTGAGGTCAAACTAGACTACATAGTCAGACCCTGTATCAAAAAAGCCAAAAAAGAGTTAGGTGTGGTGGTGCATGATTTGGCATATTTGAAGAAAACTGAATTTTTCATTTTACTTCTTTCTTTTTAAATTTCTTTCTTTCTTCCTGTCTCTCTCCCTTTCTTTCCTTCTTTCTTTCTTTCTTTCTTTCTTTCTTTCTTTCTTTCTTTCTTTCTTTCTTTCCTTTCTCTCTCTCTCGAGACAGGGTCTCCCTGTAGCTCCAGCTGTCCTGGAACTCACTATGTAGACCAGGCTGGCTTTGAACTCACAGAGATCTGTCTGCCTCTGCCTTCCAAGTGTTGGGATTTAAAGGCATATGCCACCATGCCCAGTGAATTATTCATTTTAATGTGTTCTCAGACACTGTATCTACAAAACCAAGTGACAGATCAAACAGCAGGGCATGGTGGCACACGCTTTTAATCCTAGCACTTGGGAGACAGAGGCAGGCTGATCTCTGTGAGTTCAAGGCCAGACTGGTCTACTTAGTGAGTTCCAGGCCAGGTGTCTCAAAAAGACCAAAAAAAAAAAATCATACTTTTAAAGAAGACAGGGGAGCTAGAGGGATGGCTCCAGGATTAAGAGCACTTACTTGATGCTCTTCCAGAGGACTCAGGTTTGGTTACCAATACCCACATTGGGCTGTTCACAGTCACCTGTATCTCCAGCTCCAGGGGATCTGACACCTTCTTTTGGCCTCTGAGGGCACTTGCACTCATGTGTACACACACATATATAAAAATAATTTTTTAAAAAATTTATTTTATGTGTATGAGTGTTTTGCTGAATACATGTAAGCATGTCCATATCTTGAAATGCCCGTGGAGGTCAAAAGAAGGCAATGGATTTCCTGGAACTGGAGTTAAGGGCAGGTGTACCATCTGGGCATAGGCAACCAAACACAGGTCCTCTGCAACAGCAGTCAATGCTCTTAACCACTGAGCCATCTCTTCAGCCCCACAAATAAAATAAATCTAAAAATAGGACAGGAAAAATTAAAACTTTCTTCCCTTAAATAATTAATTGACTTGGTGGGCAAAACCACACCACCAACTAAAATAAACAACAAGAAGAGGGAGAGACCGTTTAAAGGCTATGCAGACTAGGATAGTTTCCACTTCAGATAGCAGAAATTTGGATAAAGAACAGTTACAGTTAATCCTTTTCCCTCATAAGGGAACAGATAAAGTGAATAAAACATCAGTCTCCATTCAAGTTGGTACTATGCAACTGATAAAATTAATCAACTGTTCAGTCTCTGGCTTCTATGCAGTGTGTCAATTAAACATCTGTTTGCCTTCCACTCTTAAAAGACTAATGAAATATTTTATTATAGCATATAGAAGTATTAAATCCATGCTGTTTCCATATAAAGTTCCCTTCTAACAGAGGTTTAGATGAAATCTCATCTTCAGTTCAGGGTATTCTGTAAGATTTGGTATAGTATAGGTTGGTCATTTATCCATTGATCAGAGGTCAAAGAGACTCTTCATGATTTGAAGAAAACTTCAGCAGTAATTCCTAAATAGTGCCTCATTAACTTTTTTTGTTTGTTTTCAGTCTTTCTGAGACAAGGTCTCCCTGTAGCCCCTGTAGCCAGTTGGCCTGGAACTCACTGTGTAGACCAGGCTGGCCTGGATCTTAGAGAGATCCACCTGCCTTTGCCTCCCAAGTGCTTGGATTAAAGGCGTGTGCCACCTCATCCAGCAATGCCTCTTAAGTTTAAAATTATAATCTGGAAGTTGTCCAGCTTTAAAGAGCTCTGTAGGATTCTTCACATGAACTGAAAGGGCAGTTTAAGAAACAAATGTTTTCTGCTGGAAGATGTCTGTTGCTCAAGTGCAGGAAATAATTGGAGCAGGAGCAGAAGATAATGGTGATTAAAAAAATTTTTTTTGAAACAAGATCTCCCTACGTCGCCCAGGATGGCCTTAGCTCTGGGCTCAGTTGATTCTTCTGTTTCAGTCTCCTCAGTAGCTTAGATTATAGTATGTGCCACCTCATTGGTCAATGATGATTTCCTTGCTTGCAGTTACAGGTTACTAGACTTTAGACCTATGTAGAGTGCCCAGGGTAACGTGGAAGGCCCTGGCCAAAGACAGCCTTCCCTCTGTTGCTAAAGTCTGAGTGATGGCCAGTCCGCCTTGGACTACTGCCCTGCCTCACGTGGCTTCACAACTCAGATCAAATCAACTATGTGCTCTCAATTTAGTTTTGTGGAGTGGTCTTCATGGTACCACTTTTCTAGCACCATGGCCCTCCACAGAGCTAGTAGGTAACCACAGCAGGAACTCAAAACTTGGAGGACCTGCTCAGGGGAACAATAAAGCCCAGTTTCATTACAACCTCTCCATATTCCTTGTAATGCATATGGATTAATTTCCATTTTGATCCTTTTAACCGTGTTATACAATGCCTGCAGAGTTCAGAAGAGTGCGTCAGAAGAGGGCATCGGATCCCCTGGAACTGGAGTTACAGACAATTGTTAGCTACCATGTGGGTGCTGAGAATCGAACCCAGGTCCTCTGCAAGAGCAGACAGTGCCCCTAATTGCTGAGCTATCTCGCCAGCCCCCACTTACCTTTTTTTAATTCCTAAGAGAGAAACTGAAGTTTAATGCTAAGTAAGCATGGAATTTTAAGGCCTCTTCTCTAACAGCAGAAGAAGCTAGATGGTATAGGGTGAACATGAATCTGAAGCCCAGACTTGCTGGGCTCAAGCACAGCTTCTCTGCCTTACAGCTTCTCTGTCTCACTAGCTGTGTAATCTTTTGGAATTTCCTCCACCTCTCTCATGAGAATAATCCTACATAGGAACTCTGAGGACTGAATGCTGAGAGCATGCTTCTTATGTATTAGGAAGCACAGATGCACTTCAGTGCCATCAGGCATGTCATTTTGGATACAAAACCTGGAAATGGGGCTCAAGATGCTCAGATATAGCTTAGTCAGGTGGACCTTGGCCTCCGCTTTCCACTTGTGTTACTAGACAGTTTCTAGGGTCCCTTCCTGCTGTAAAGTTCTGTCTGACTTTGGATCATGTCTTTTCTTTTTCCTTATAGCTCTGTGTGACAGGAATTGATACTGCTTTTGTTTGAGAGGAAAACTGAGGCAAAGGGAAGGCGGGCAGCTTTTTCTGTTTAGTTTTTCTACCAAAAAAAAAGTGTATCACCAACCTAGTTAGACCTGGGAAATTTCAATTCACATCCTCATGGTTTAATAAATGACTGGGTTCTTTCTGTTGATGAGTGAATTAGACCTGAATCTCCGTTTCTTAGAATAGCCACACACAGCATTTTCATATCCAAACTGTTTACTTAATAACCTCTCACTGGCTGTCCTCCATTAATGATTTCACCTAACTCTTTGTCCTCGAATGCTCAGTCTCTTGGCACAACAACCTTCACATGTTCTCTGTATTTCCCAAGGGACTGTGGGAAGTATGCAGAGAGTGAGAAACTGCTCAGGTCAGAGGATGAGAAAGTGGGCATTACAGGCTTTTGATAAGATACACAAGGAATAGGAAAATACCCTGGCTGCTTTACCAGGGAGCAGAACATTATCTATTTTTTTCATTTCAAGGCCAGTACTTTGAGCAGAAAGTCCCTCTGGAAAAGTATAGAGCACACTATGGAACAGGGCAAATTAGGTTACCTCCTTTCCTCAGAAATGAACTCTTTTCACACTGTCCTATCAGGGAACAGGTAGCTTTGTCTATCTAAAGCCCTGACAGATGGGCAGGAGTGTGGGATAAGAGGGCAAAGGGAAGACAGGATGAGAAAGAATCAAACCAAAAAGAAAGACTCAAAAGCAGGGTCGGAAGGATGGTTCAGTAGTTGAGGGTGCTTGTCTCCAGGCCTGGCAACCTGAGCTTGATCCTTGGGGCCCACATGGTGAAAGGGGAAAATTGGCTCACCCAGGCAGTTCTTTAACCTCCATAAACACTGTGGCATACATGTGTGTGTGTGCCCATAAAATGGTAAGTAAATACATGTAAAAAATTTTTTTAAAAAAAAAAGATCAACAAGAATAGGGAAGAAAATGCCTGGCAGTATGCAGAGGCTGTCATCTCCGGAGACTGCCTTCTGAGGAGCTACTTGAATCTGGCTCAGAGAAGGTTCTGGGACACATGGGCTCGCCTTCTAAGCCTGCAAATGGAACTGAGACACAGACAATTTTTGTATAACCTCAGATATCTGACAGCCAGTGTCTGACCTTAGGAACTCAGAGCTGTCTTCTCCCCTTTTATTTATGCTATTTTTCTACCTTTGAAAGGGCCTCAGAGGTGACTCTTCAAGTTGGAGTAAAGGATTTTCTAATCTAAGCATTACTCATATGGATTTGGTGGGCTTCAGGGGAAAACTATGAATAACAAATTCTTTTCTACCTCTTACTGAGATGACTTCTCAGAATAGAATTGCAAACATTACCATCTTTAGTAAATAATTAAAACATAATCTTAGAAAATAATCCCTTTCATAGAATTTCTTTTTCAGACTTTCAATATGTATTCAATAAAGTACATAAAACTAAGCTTATGTTACCTTTGAAGTGTCAAACAAATTTAGAATTGTTTTTATTGCTGTCTCAAAAGAAAAGAAGTGACATTTAGCAGTATTTTTCCCAGGTTCTTTCCTACTTTCTCTGATTACTTTTGAAGTCTTTTAACTTGTTCTGATTTCTGTCTTTAAAAAAATTTCAAGGCTGATGTCATAGTGCATGCCTGTAATCCCAGCATTAGGAGGATCAGAAGTTCAGGGCCATCTTCGGCTACATAGCTAGTTCAAGGTTGGCCTGGGCCGTAGGACACCCAGTCTCAAAAACTCAAAATACAAAGCAAACAAATTTCCTCTTGAGTGTTCAAGGAAATAACTCTTTTCAAATACCATGTAATAAATAACCTCATGAGAAGCAACAATAGTGAGGCTTATTCTTTTCTTTGATTTTCCCACATTTCTCCCAATTTTTTAATAGTTTATTATTTTTATTTTATGTTTATGAATGTATTGCCTGCATGTATGTAAAAGCACCCATGTTATGCAGTGCCCACAAAGGTCAGAAGAGGGTGTCAGGTATCCTAGAACTGGAGTTACAGACAGTTGTTAGCCACCATATTGGTGCTGGGAACCAAACCTGGGTCCTTTGCAAGAGCAGTTAGTGCTCTTAATCACTAAGCCATCTCTCTAGTTCCTCCCCCATTTTTTATAAATGTGTAGTTTTGTATCAGGAAAAAATGGAATAGATTAACAAGATTATTACATGAAGCCAGAGCTCCACCAGACACAGTGAAATTTGATAAACACCTTGGGAATTTGCTGTGGATGGGAAGGGGAAAATTACTTTGTGTTGTTCCCTTGCAATCTTAAAGGAAAGTAGATTCTCCTTAGCCTGAATTATGCTGCTAGTAGCACTTGAAAAAAAATCCCACTTAACTATGAAAAACTATAGTCAGTCATAAGAGACAGAATAGTCACTCTTTTGGATACCACAACTAGAGTCTAAAAAGGTGAACTCAGGAACCAGACAACAACCAAAGAAACTAGTGCCTGCAACCATCTCCTTAAGTGGAAAATGAAAGAGCAGAGCTTGCAGAGGAAAGCTGGTGGAGTTTCAGCACAATGAGAAAAGACCCCTTTCCCTTATATTTGAAAGTCAGACCTTGGGGCTGGAGAGATGGCTCACTGGTTGAGAGTACTAACTGCTCTTGCAGATGACCCGGGTTCAATTCTCAGCACCCACATGGTGGCTAACTACCATTCTTAAGTCCCATTCCAGGGGATCCAACATTTTATTCTGACCTCCTTGGGTATAACATGGGTACACTTACATAAATGCAAGCAATACACTCATACACATAAAATAAAAATAATAAATAAAATATTTTT